CAGTAGATTGGTCCCAGGGAAAGGCTGGGCCACCGCAATTCCCTCTGAAATTAACAGGCGTTGATGCAGAGTCGGGTACTCTGAGCATCCCTTTTACACACTTCCTTCACCTGCCATTACCACCACCTCCTAAGACTGGACCTTACAAAATCCTCTTGGTACTCACTGAAATCAATACAAGTTTTGACAGGATCTTAGTGTACAAAGTGACACTATCAAGTAAATCTGAACCAGGAACTCCATGTAAAATACCTTTGTCCCCACAACTGTTTTTCAATTAAAAAAGAAGAGTTATCTAAATCAACATAGAAGCAATTTGATGGTAGAACCCCTTTTGATTTTTAATGCCTGTACAGCATGAAAACAACAATTGTCATTAAAAAGAAAAACATTAAGTGTAATGGCAGCAAATCAGAAAGAGCAGTTCCCACAGCCCGCTCGCAGAAATTCTGGAGAAGATCTTTGCAGAGACAAACTGTATTTTGATTCTGGCATGGCAGTGTTTCATTCATTCCAATCATTCTACCAACTATTTAGCTAACTGCTGCCTCTAAACCCAAGTAATATTTTGCCACCTCATAACAAAATTACCCAAATTGCTGTGACTATAAACTGTATGGGGGTTTTTTACTGTAGTATTTAGGAAGTGGCAGCTATAAATACCCTCCCTTTTGAAGCAGACTATAGTACACATGGAGACACTGCAATTGAAAATCCATGAAAGCTCATCTATTTTGTGAACTGCCATTCTAATTTTGAATTTTCTACATGATTCTACACTTTTTCTACAGGATGTGTACTGTGACTGTATCAGTTAAACTGAAAGGAGTTTTAAGGAAAAATAAATGCGACGTCAAATGAAAACCAGGGAGAAAAGAACTCTAGCAAAGCATCAAGAAGGTGACAGATAAACTGTTAACTGGGGAGAATCCTGCCTGCTATCATTCCAAAATAAGATTCATGTGATGCTGCAAAGGGCTGGCAGGTGGGAGGAGAGAGCAGGTACAGTGAGGAAGGGCAGAAAGAAGCATGGAACAGAGGTGATCTGGCAGTGCTGCCTCTCCCCGTGTCAGCTCGAAGGGCGATGCACCTCACCCATCACCTTTTGCCCCTAGGAACTCCCGGGGAAGAGAAGAAAATATCAAAGTCAGTGAGAGTTTGCTCTGGAGTTCATGGGAAGCAGCAGGTCACTCCATGGGACTCTGCATGCATGGCATCCAAGAGCAGACCTAGTGTTTTTAATACGGCTCTCTGGGGGCTGTTAGAGGAGAAAGGAACAATGATGGTAATTAATGACCAGAATGCTGCTGATAGATGGTAACGCTTCATAATAAAAATTAACCAGGATCGTGACAACCCACAGTACAAAAAGCCCCTCCAGAATTAGAAGTCCTGTGCCAAATTAGAATTCCCATTGAGAAGAGATGAAGCTGATCATAAATTTAACTGTGGTCAGGTTTCCTGCCTTGTTGCTGTATTGCACACTTCCACAAATACAGTGGATTATCCCCAATCCTCTTTATTTTCTTGCGTTTCATTGGAAAACAGAAATTAGTTGTTCAACGCTAGACTTACTTAGCTAGACAGAAGTGAGAAAGAGCCAAGTGTTTTTTCTACTGTGTCAATAATGAATTGAAGGAATCGGTGACTATATCCCTTGATAAATTAACTTTTCTGTTTCTTATTAGCAAGCATTAGCTGTATCAGAGTCCAACCAGGGAGCAGGCACTAGCTTGACTAGTATTATGACATAATTTGCTATGATATCATGGCTTACTCATCACACTAAAGGAAAATTGACATCATAACATGCAGTGTAGTGAAAGAAACCCTGTATTTATACAAATAGTAAAAAGACAAAGTGTTTCTTTTGCTTCAGTCTGCTTATATGTATAAAATGCTGGCTACAATTTCTCTACTACTATTTAAGATACAAGATTATTTTGCTTAAAAGTTATACAAGGAATATTTCTATTTTTTGGGGAATAATCATTCTATTTTACAAGGTCAAGATCTAACTGTACTGCAGAATGGGTGCTTGAGCTTACGGGGTTTTTTTTAAACTCTCTAAAAGAAATTTTCCTAACACAACAAAAAATACTAACAATATACAATATAAAAAAAGACAATGCAGCTTCAAGCTAAGACCTAATGCTTGCTGATTCTGTTCAGAGGCAACAGGTACTCAATCACTGTACTGCCAGCAGTGGAAGCTACAGGGAATATTTGTCTCCTCTGATGAACAGACTAAAAATGTATTTTCTTGCATTTGAGAGAGCATGTTCCCAAGTATAGAGATTTCCAGACTTATTAATTCCCTTTCAAGTGCTATGATGTAAATATGTCTTTGCCTACTGTTTCAGAATGAGGAAAATAGGAGTTCTGCTGAGGTTTCAAAAATCCTTGGCCTTTTACATTTTAATGGTAAGATTGTTATCAATGTTGACATGAAGAAAGGTGAGATCCACCTACCAAAGAACGGCTCATTAGTTAGACTTGCGTGGGAAGCAGAACAGCCAGTTTCAAGTCCTGGCTTTGAAGAAGTCCACGTACCCCAGGACTGACTGGTGTCCATAGTCTGCTTTTCCTGCTGCTGTTGTGACCAGTTGTTTCACCTTAGGGTTGAGAAACCTTCCAGCCACGAGTTTCACTAAAATCCACATTACTGCTGGAAGGTCTTGTTGCGTACAGCATGTTCCAGGCCTATCCCTTCCAATGCTGACTGGCTCTAGAGAGACCTACGGGGAACATAGTTCTTGAGTAAGAATCTCTCTTGCGGCCCTTTGCTTCTCTAAGTGCTTTAAAGATTCCACCTACGTATGGATGGCTTTGAATGACTCTTAAAAATTATTTCAAGGGTAGCTGCAGGCAACACTATGTGAGATCGTAACTAAACCGTGTTTTATGGCATTTGTACATTTACCATATGAGATTTAGTTTTAGCATGTTTATGCTTCTACACACTGAGTTGAATGTAAGTACTTAATTCTCAACTATGTCTACAAGATAGTTGTGAGTTAATTTTTAAGTTTTCACAAAATGATTTTAAAATTTTGTTATGAGCATCGCATTTTTAGTTTGTACAATTAGTTGGATTGCACTAGGTATAAAGGTCTTTAAGACATGCAGAGCACGGTAGTTTGATGTGCTATTCTGGACAATCTTAGGCAAAATGTGCCTTAGTTAACCATCAGGTAGATAGACCTGCATGCTCAGTGTTAGAGAAGACAGTTTGCCCAGCATATTTACTTGTTATTTGAATTTTACTGAAACACTAATCAAATGGGTCTATTTAGATCATCTATAGCAGCAGCTGTGCAATGTCATCTGGAAACCAATCAATGGCTCTCAATTATTTCCTTCATCACTTTCCAATCCTACTGCCCTAAGTCAGATTTGAAAATCAATAGTCCTGGAACTACGGACCACAGAGGCCATTAAAATACCTGCTTGGGGGGGGAGGGTTGCGACCGCCTTGTAGCTTGAACTTCCTGTGTAAGGTTTCAGCCTCACATCTTTTTTTATCTTTTCACTCACATGAAAAGCTTCCTGAAAGAAGTAAGCTTCCTCCAGGTAAGAGCAGAGATGTTAACAGGTCCATATTATTTTTAAATGTTAGTCCTAGACTTGGATCCAACCTTGTAGATTTGAAGCCAAAACTTCAGCTTGAAAAAATGAAAATCGAAGTATGGCTGTTTGAACTAAAGCACGACATAGTGTGCAATGTTCCAGGCTTGGTTTTGAAGTAGATCTAAAATCAGAAAATGAGACCCAATTCTAATAATTCTGAATTTTGTAGGGTTTGTTTTGTTTTTTTTTTAACAGATGGAGTTTTTTGGGGGGCGGGGGAGGGAAAAAAAGAATCAGAGTACTAATAGTTGTAAAACTGACCTCTCACTGTTCAAAACTAAAATAAATCTGGTGTTGTGAAACATGTATGCATCTATATAAAGATAACAAGCTACTTTGTGTACATCTAAACCCCAAGAAAATACATTTTCATGAGTCTGGACTGAAATGGTTCAAGTTATGTTAATGAATTTTCATTTCCTAAGCTTGATTTGTGAAGAGACAAAATATGCAATCCTTTAAGCAGTCCTGTCCTGTGTGTCAATCTACATACATATTTTATTACTCTCTAATCAAACCTTACGTTGCTCCCTCATGAAACAACTTCTTTATAAAAAGAGGGCGTGCACATATCCAGATCTCTACAGCAACAAAAGATCTGAAGTCAAAAAAGATTTCCGAACTCTTGTACTTATGTCTGTGTTCCATGTATAACATGAGCCAGAAAATACAGATACAGATCTGTGTTGATTGGGGCTTACATGAATAAGGAATGCAGAGCAAGAGCCGTGCCTCCAACATACACCATTGGTATATTTTTCCTTGTTATTTTAAATTAAATCTGTGATGAAATAATAAAAAAAAAATGCCTTATATCGCCGCTTTTATTTTTAATTCATTATTCCTTGTAACTACCAATTGTTGAAGGCTCACAAATAGAGCATTGAAACATTGCCTTTTCATGAATGAAGTTCTGTCCGGCCTGCAAACAGGGACGTCATTTCAAGAAAATGCAGAGAAGTGCAGGGGAAGATCAGGGACTGCAAATGAAAGCAGAGCTTAAAAAAAGGACAGCTTTGTTTACTTGACCAAAACAGAGAAGAAGGTAGCAGAACTAGTTTTTAAACTCAAGCTGGAGGGAAATTTGCTAGAAAAAGATAAAATCTTTCTTCTGCTAAAGATCATAAAATCAGCTTCAGATACTTGTAAAAGATGTTTTCTGTAAAAGCTTTTGATTATTAATAGTTCTACTGACTCATAACAGCAACATTGCAATGCTTACCAAGGTAACCTCTCTGCTGGTACAATAACTGTCACCAATGATGTGCTTTTTCCTTAAAGGAAGGCGGAGTTAGGAGTTACTGTCGGGGCCATAAATAAGAGGGTCCTATGTCAGGGAAATTAGAAGTCCGTTAACATAAGCGTATACTCAGAGCGAGCATTAGAGGGCTTTCCTAAACCATCCGAGTCTGTCGAAATTGAACTGCATGCGGAAGAAATCAGATAGCTCTTAGGAAGTTTAGCTATAAAGCCACCCGTAAGAAAGCACTTTCTCTTGGCTGAGCGATTAAGCTGTGCTTAAGGCAACATGAATCCTGTACCGAGTACCTTGTTGTTTTCAGTGCTTCTACTTCTGACCCACAGAATTGAGGAGCTGGTGGAGGCGTGCAGCTGTGCCCCTGCTCATCCGCAGCAGCTCATCTGCGACTCGGCTTTAGGTGAGTCAGAACCGCCGCGTGCTTTTAGCTCGGACGGTAGGAAATCAAATGGAGCTACTCCAAGGGCTGGGCTGGGATTTTGTACGGCTCTAGAGGAGTATGTTTAACCAGGTGGCTTAGTCTCTATAAGGATTTTACAACAAAATGACTGCAGAGAGGGCTATGGGGGAAAAAATGGTAGTAGCTGTTCTGCTTTTCTTGTTTTTCCAGAACATTTTGTGGTTACAAATTGTTGAAATTGCTGTATTATTTAGTGCCTTTTTTTTTTTTTTAAACAGGAACAGTTTCTATATTAGGTCCTAACTTAAGAGTAAGCAGGGAAGTATACCTGAACTTTCAAATGGCTACTGTTAACAGTATCTGTAACAGAATATTCTCTCTAAATATGTCTGCTAGGTGTAAACTATGCACACAGATATTTTTTATAGCATTTTTGGGAAAAAATAACCCAAACAAAACAACGCCCCAGATAAAAGTCCCCAGTGATAACATGTTGAAACACTTGATCTTTGTTCTGCTCTACTACAATTTCTTTAATTGGTTGTGGAGTTTTTTGTCATTTTCCAAAAATACTGGAGCAGAAAACCGACAGGCCCTTTATTTTCTGCAGACAAACTGGCTACAGCAGTTCTGTATAAATATAACTTTCCAGTCTTTAGGACAATTGTGTTTCCTGATATTCAATCAGCACTCTGGTTGTCAAACAACTTACAGAAAGAAACTACAGATCTCAAAATTAGACTGCATGGGGATAAGAAAATGTGACATTTTGCAGCCTTTCGATTTCATTAGCTCAAGCTAAGGCTGGTTAGCTTCCATCTAGTGTGAACAGTAAATGTAGAACATGAGTTTCCAAAGTGTCACAAAATTAGCATCTCTATGGGGCAGGCAATACCTTCTGCATACTGATCAATTGCTTTTATACCCTGACAGAAAATCTTTGTAGCCATGACAAACTCTAAGCTCTGTTTGTGGCCATCAGTTAAATTGTTTTTTAATCTGGTTGTGTTAAGCAACCTTTTTCATTAAGTTACCTACACCAGGCGTTACAAACTTGGGGTCGTTTGAGGTGTGAAAGAAAACAGAAGTTGTGCTGCCAGGAGTTTAACCATGTATGTGTACATTTAACTGTATTAGTCTGCTGCACTCTTATACACAAGTGACAGTTTTTCAACAGACTTAATGTAGACATTTTTCTAAAGAAACAATTTCACACTATAGAGGAAACTCAAAATACTCATTATGAGCCATCTTCCTTAGGGAAGCCGTTCTGGCCAGTCTTCTTACGTATGTTAAGATTTATTCCATTCCTAGATACCTTTTACAAATGGTAGATGTATGCTACTTGTTATTTATATTTAAATACTGAAGACTGTAAAATAAAACTACTTTATATTTGGACTCGACGCTCAAGCTCTCACTTCTATAAATATTCCTGTTTAAGTAAACTGTACCTTTTGGCTAAGGAATGTTTATATCAAGGATCCCTTTGTTTAATATTTATAATATTAAAATGCTATTTTAAACTGATAAAATGATAGACACATGTATGTAGTCATTCATATAAATATGTGTATACATATTTTTAGATCTGCATTTGCATATATGTAGATATAAAACCTGCTCTAAGTATATAATTTGCTTTGGCCACAACATCTTGCATAAGCAGAGCAAAATCACTTTAAAGGAGCAGGAGAAGAGCAGCGGAGTGCCCGCCCTGCGTAAGAGAAAACTCCACTAACCAGCCTGGCACAGCCAGCCCCGGGGTCCCCGATGCCAGCACTCTGGTTTTTCATGGTTTTTCACTCGGCGTGCAGGCGGGAAGGCTGTGGCCTGGGGCTGCCCCGGGGAGGGGGCAGCAGGAGGCCGGTTGGACGCAGCACCGTCCCCTGGGAATCCCGGCCGTGCCCCCACGGCTCTGCTTCGCTTTGAGCAGAGCGGGTTGGAAGCCCCACCTGCGGCCTTAGGGCCGGCTGGTTCTTAGCAGGGGCTGGGAAACCCAGGCCGTGCCAGCGAGTATCCTGCCCAGTAGCATGCCTCAAACTTCTCCTGCTAACATCACTGTACTTAGAGATAGTATTTTTAAAGATGTAAGAAGATTAAATTGAAGATTTGTACTTCAACGTTTTGAGACTTCCAAAATATTGATAAACAAAGAAAGGGACAGCTCTTCAGCTACCAAAATCTGTGGGAGTTGAATGCTAATCCAGCTATTTGCTGAGACTATTCAATTTTTTCAGTTATTTTTAAGTTCATCCATCTCTCTACCCAGAAACACATTCAAGTATTTCCTTGCAGAATAAAACCCTAGCACAGCTTATTTAAAAAAACAAACAAACAAACAAACAACAAACCATGCCCTGCCTTTAAATTCTGCAGTAAAGTAAAAACTGAGACCAAGTCTCAGTCTTACTTATAGAGCTCCAACGACTACATGGACTTCAGCTACTGCTTTATTTCTCATTTTCACTATATATCTGGAACATTTTTAATTTCCTTTAGGATCACTTGTGATTTGGGTGGAGTGCAAATGGAGGTGGAGGGGGTTGAATCAACAGACATTACTTGAGCCACTAACTGAATGTGTGAAGCCACTCAGAAACCTCAGCATATATATGAGATACCCAAGAAAAAAAAACAAGCAGAGAAATTAATTAAGTCTGGGACAAGCTCTTTTCACTTTAACTTTTGTTCACATGATTAGTGCTGTGACACTTTGTCTTCTACTGTCAGGAGGCTTTTGTGGCTTTACTCTCTTTCTAAATACCCAGAGTTACCACACGACCTGAGTAACTGGATAGAAATAACAGGCTTTCTGACAGACCGAGAGTAAGAGAGCACTGGTGGTGCTGCAAGGTGCTGGCTAAAACTAAAACGAGGAACGAGTGACGAGCCCTGCAGGTGTCAGGCGGCTGTACGCCGCAGGATGGACAGAAATGATGGGTAGTAAATCCTGCCTGAATGCTGTGCCAGTCCCGCCGTTGTTAATCTCCCCCCTCAGCCTTGAGAGGTGTGATTTTGTACAAATTTGAGCAGCTTTCATGAACTTCTCAGTAGTTTTAAATTTCACTTCAACGAGAGGTAAATCCTCATTAGTAGGCGGTGCCTAGCACCATGAAGATACACACCCTTTATAAAAAAAGGGAGATGCATTCCTTTTGTGTTCTTCTAACTGGCGCTGAGGCCCTCCTCACGTGTGCCGAATGCCCTCCAACCCCACGGACGCCTGCGCTTCTGAACGGGACTGTCACTGGAAGTGGAGAAGGGAGGTTTATGGAAGAGCAGTTCCTCGCACCGCACTGCTAGCTGTCAGGGCGGGCCCCCCACCAAAGAACCGGGGAGGCTTTCTCCTTACAGCAATGGAACGTGGTGAGGATGTGCTGTTTAACGTCTCAAGTGCAGTAGTGAGGCACCACAGTTTCTAGCCGATACAAGAAAATTCCTCTGATAATGGCTTTTTTGGAGAGAAACCGTGGGTGCAACAGAGTTTATCAGATAGTGTCAAGAGATTGCCCTTTTTGCCACTGACTTCAGTCTTCCTGGACTCAGTTCTAACCCAATGTTCACATCGAATTAGACAATCTGCAGAGAGAAATGGTGTCTGTGGAGAGGCCTGATTCCTTTCCAAGTCTGTCACTTTTAATTCATGCTGGTTTTTCCCCCCTTAGGCATACGCAAGGTTACTTTTTGGACAGTAGGACAAATATGTAAATATTTTGCATTTCTTAGCTATGTAACACCAGTACGCTATCTTTAAAGTTAGATGTATTCTTTCTGATTTAAAGTGCCTGTGGGTTGTTTCTTCTTAAACATATATTGAAAATTATATTTTTACTGAATATTGAGCACCACACTCCAACAGATATGACTAACAGGTCTTGAGTACAAAAAAATATATAATATAGCTTCAGAGAATAGTTCCATAGCTTTGGAGAAGAGTGGTACATATCGAAATATGATGGCAGCTTTACAGCTGGAGCTTGGCAGCATTTTCAGCCTGTTAAAATCTCGTAAGATCACCGAGATCAGACATTGTAAAGATGTGCCAGATGATATATTAAATTTTAATCACATTTAAAAGTAACAGTAAAAATTTTATTTAAATACACCAGAATTAAGTTTTCAAAGTTAGCTCCTCTGGGATAAAATTACAATATGCTATTTCTTTGTTATTGAATCTCATATTAAAACGTTCACGGCTCAGTGTCTCATGATTTTGCCTCTCTGCAATATAATATCTAGTTTTGTATGGGAATGGATTAATTTGTACGTTATTAGAGTGGGGAGTAACTTTACCTGATGGGGAAAAAATCAGCACTGGAAAATGTATTAGGAAGGTAGACAGGACTTCTTCCAAGTTAGGGGAGAAAAGGTGAACAGTGAAATTAAAGCAGACTTTGTATTTCATTCTTACTATATTAACGTTGTGTGTACTCACCATATTCTTAACCTCACAGAGCCTACTTACTGTGAGCAGCATGATTACGCAGACCCTGATTACCTGCCTGTTGAGTTCAGCAGGAGTTTTGACACAAAATTAAGCAGCTGTCTAATTAACCTTCATGTGTGTGGGAGTACAGTGTTGACACAGACAATAGTAACCATACCGTGTAGCAGAAGACCATTAAAGACTGGGATGCAACAGACCTTAAGTCTTCTGTGAGGGTTTCAACAGTCGCATAAAAGAATCCCAACTCTTGCCTAGGTGTACTTCTAGAGTAACTCCTCACTGACTGGAAAGGATTATGCAGCTACCCTGTCTCAGTGGTCCCGCACAGAAATGAAAGCTGAGTTTCTACTCCAAGAATTGTGAATTTGATATAGAAACAATGTACTGGGCTTTTGCAGTTCTAGTTCTCTCTCAAACTAGAGGCAAAGCAGAGCACCTGAGCATGTTTCTTGCAAGAATTATTACGAAAAAGCAGTTGCAAGACCATATTAGTGCCATTGAAAGAGCACGCTGCCAGAACAATATTTGCAGAGCCCTAATTATATTAACC